TATGATTATGACCTGCCCTCCGATCGTCTCTGCTAACCATCAGAGAGCTCCCCAAAGCATAGTTTTACAGTTGATCAAAACAACACAAATAGCACATAACCACACATCTACGAAAGGGTTAACTCGGGGAAAAGAAGAGTAAGGTTACATTTCGGAAACCCGACAGGCGCACTGGTGTGTGTGCTGTACCTTGTGTGAGGAGTCCTCGGAATTGCTCAACGGCTTTGTCAACGTCCACTTGGAAAAATTCCCAGAGCTGGATCTTTGGGAAAACATCCTCCCAAATGATTTTCCGGATGCACTGAAAAATGGCCAATAGTTAAAACACAGGTGCATATTTTTAAAGCCTTTTAAGCAGATGTCATTGCGCGTATCAAAAGGCCGGCCGTAAACGACGTTCGGCCATGCGTGGAGTTTGTGGGGACGGTGTGCGGGGCTGCGGAGCCCCATACATACTGACATGCATGTGATGCTCGTTCTCGATCAGCGCGGGCACCCCCCTGTCTCGGTATCTCCCGGCGGCCACGTCGCAGGAGAGGTGCCACAGGGCTCGGTCCAGGACCCAGGCGGGCTTCAGGTGCGGAGAGTTCACCAGGTTGTAGGCGCTCTCCGGGTGGGCCTGGATCCATCTGCTATTCGTAGCTTCAGGAAGAAGGAAACACAAGGGAAGAGCTTGTAATAGACTGAAGTTAGTAGCTGCACTAGGTCTAAAGGTGAAAAACGACGTCGCCATCGACCGCTCGTTGTCTGACACGTGAGACATCAGTGCCTTGTGCTGATGCTGTGCTGGGAAAACACTAGTACGTTGTGTCTGTGATACATATCCCACCACCCACTTCACCATCTGTGGTGCTTTTCTGCTGTGGGCATTTTTAGTGAGAGCAGATAGGACGCCACGCTGATCTAACACCGCTGTAGTAACATGCGGTCATGATGGGCAGTAACAAGGGGTGTGTCCTTTGAGGGTCACGACCTCTCTGATGGTCCCTGAGTCGACCATAAAACCCTCCTTCGTAAGGCAGCCTGGGCTCCGGCCCGACATCAAGTCCCCTGGCCTCTGTGGGCAGAGTCACCTGTGCCTTCAGCTGGGGTCTGGGCTGCTCCGTGTCGGCTGTGAGAGGTCCAGGGCGGGAGAACAGTCCCCTTTCCATGTCTTTTCTCCCCCTTCCCGTCTCCTGAGCGACAGGGCCCTTCTCCATCCCACCTAACCTCTGGGCTCTCTCTCTTACCTTAACTTTAAGAGTCAAAAGGTTGTGGACACCCCTTTTTCCTACAGACTCATTTCTCCCCGGGTATTTTCAGGGGGAAGAGGGTGGGGGGAGGTGAGGTTCCTTCCTCTCCACCTTCAAATATGCTCTTACCCTTCCAAAGCTGAGACTACAGACAAGTACACATCCTGTCTAAAAAGCTCCTTCTCTAACTTCTTCACAGTCTCTTAGTAGCGAGAACAAATGTCTGGAAAGTCCGTCCCGTATCTGCTGCCTCCACCGTCTCC